AAGTGTGGGTACTTTTGCTTCATTTGGTCCTCGCGTTCCCAAGTAAACTTCGGCCCTCTACGAGAGTTCCACCGGACTTTTACAATAGGTATACGGTTTTGTTTGAGTCTTTTAATTTCTCGATCCATAATCTCCACTGGTTCCTCCATGAAGTGAAGCTTTGTGTTGACATGGATTTCATCGAGTGGTACGACCAAATTTTCATCGGCTAGGCACTTTTTGAGATTACACACGTTGAAGGTATCGTGAACCTTGTTGAGCTCTTGAGGTAGCTTGAGCTTATAAGCTACCGGACCAACTATTGCTAGGATCTCAAAGGGTCTGATGTAATGTGGGTTTAGCTTCCTCTTTTTCCGAATCTAATGACACCCTTCCATGGGGCAACTTTTAGTAGGACTCGGTCTCCTACTTTGAATTCCAATGGTTTACGTCTGTTGTCAGCATAACACTTCTGCCGACTACATGCGGCTTTTAGCCGTTCTTTTATTTGAACAATCTTTTATGTCGTCTCCTGAATGATTTCAGGTCCAGTGAATAGTGTATCTCCAATATGTTTTCCTGCTAGTTGGGTATCTCCAACCTCTTCCCAACATAATGGTGAACGACATTTGCGCCCATACAAGGCCTCAAATGGAGCAGCCTTTATACTAGTGTGATAGCTATTGTTGTAAGAGAACTCAACTAATGGCAAGTGAGTATCCCATGCGTTACCAAAGTCTATCACACAAGCGCGGAGCATATCTTCCAAAGTTTGTATTGTCCTTTCGCTCTGGCCATCCGTTTAAGGATGATATGTTGTACTCATGTCGAGTTTTGTGCCTAGGGACCTTTGCAGTGATTGCCAAAATCTAGAAGTGAATGTACTATCTCGGTCCGAGATGATAGATATTGGCACACCGTGTAGTCTGACTATCTCCTTGAGATAAGTTCTGGTGAGTTTTTCCATCTTATCAGTTTCCTTGATGGCTAAGAAGTGAGCAGACTTGGTCAAACGGTCAACCACTACCCATATGGTATCGTAACCGCTTGATGTCTTGGGAAACTTTGTTATAAAGTCCATCGTTATTTGTTCCCACTTCCATTCTGGAATTGATAGTTGTTGTAGCAGGCCATACGGCTTCTGGTACTCTGCCTTGACCTTGGAGCAGGTCAAACACTTACCGACATAGGTGGCAATTTCTGCCTTCATATTGGGCCACCAATAATGCTTCTTGAGATCGAGATACATCTTGTCTGATCCGGGATGTATTGAGTATCTTGACTTGTGAGCTTCATTTAAAACCAAATCTCCGACTTCTCCAAATCTTGGAGTCCAAATCCGGTTCATGAAGTATCGCATTCCATCATCTCTAAGGTCGAACTGTTTGTCCATGCCTTGTAGATTTCCTTCCAAGATGTTTTCAGGTTTAAGTGCTTCTAGCTGAGCATCACGAATTTGAATAGTGAGGTTCAAGTGGATGGTTAGGGTTAGAGCCTTTACACGAAGAGGTTTTGCTCATTCCTTCCTGCTTAAAGCATCTGTCACAACGTTTTGCTTTACCAGGATGATAAAGAATTTCGCATTCATAATCATTTAGTAATTCGACCCATCTTCGTTGTCTCATATTGAGCTCTTTTTGATAAAAAATGTGTTGAAGGCTCTTGTGGTCTGTGAATACAAAGCACTTTGTCCCGTATAGATAGTGTCTCCAAATCTTCAAGGCAAATACTACGGCTCCCAACTCTAAGTCATGGGTAGTGTAGTTTGTCTCGTTTGGCTTCAGTTGTCGGGATGCATATGAAGTAACCTTATTCCTCTGCATCAGTACACACCCTAACCCATGACATGAGGCATCACAGTATACTACAAAATCTTCTGTTCCCTCGGGAAGAGACAAAATCGGTGCACTGCATAATAATTGTTTCAATTTTTGGAAGGCGGACTCTTGACTGTCTCCCTAGTCGAAATTTTTGTCTTTCTGGGTTAGTGCGGTGAGAGGCTTGGCTATTTTGGAGAAGTTCTTGATAAATCTCCGATAATAGCCTGCAAGCCCTAAGAACTGGCGTACTTCGGTTGGTGTTGTTGGTGCTTTCCAATTCTTGACAGCTTCAATCTTCGCAGGATTGACATGAATCCCTTTACTGCTGACCACATGACCGAGGAAATGAACTCCGTTAATCCAGAACACACACTTAGAAAACTTTGCATAAAGTTTTTCTTTTCTTAGCAGTTCTAGGAATAAACGCAAGTGTTGGCCATGTTCTTCCTTGGTTCGTGAGTATATTAATATGTCATCGATGAAGACAATCACGAATTTGTCCAAGTAGGGTTTACACACCCGATTCATAAGGTCCGTGAATACGGCAGGTGCGTTGGTCAGTCCAAATGGCATCACTAGAAACTCATAGTTACCGTATTTGGTTCGGAATGTCGTCTTTGGAATATCTGCTTCTTGAACTCTAAGTTGATGATAGCCGGATCGTAGGTCGATCTTTGAGTAGTAGCGAGATCCTTGTAATTGGTCGAACAAGTCATCGATCCTCGGGATTGGATATTGGTTTTTGATAGTGAGCTTATTTAACTCTCGATAGTCGATGCACATCCTAAACGAACCATCCTTCTTTTTGACAAACAAATATTAGGGCTCCCCATGGAGAGAAGCTTGGTCGGATAAAGCCATTGTCGAGAAGTTCTTGAAGTTGATTGGATAGTTCTTGCATTTTCGATGGAGCCAGGCGATAAGGAGACCGTTCCACTGGTGCTGCACCTGGGATAAGGTCGATACAAAATTCAACCTGTCTGATAGGAGGTACTCCAGGTAGGTCTTCTGTAAATACGTCTGGGTAGTCACATACTTGTGGTATGTCTTTGATTTCCTTACCCTTGCCTTGCGTATCCACTACGTGGGCCAAGAAAGCGTGGCATCTCTTATGCAAATACTTCCTTGCCTTCATGCAAGTAATGACTCGTAGGTTCTTCCCTGCCTTGTCTCCATAAATCACAAGGGATTCATCGTTTGGTAAGGGTAATCGTACAGCTTTTTCGTAACATAGAATCTCCGCTCGATGGGCTGATAACCAATCCATTCCGATGATTACATCGAAACTTCCAATGGTTATGGGCATTAAGTCAACAGGGAACACGTGATTATTTAGGGTGAGAAGGCAATTGGTGAGTATTTCTAAGGTGCTTTCTATTTGACCATTGGCTACTTCTACCGTGTAAGCATTATTGAGTTTGCATGATTCATGATTAATCATTTTTCTAAATTTGTGGGAAATAAAACTCTTATTAGCACCAGTGTCAAATAATATAGTGGCATAAATATTGTCGATAGGAAACGTACCAGTAACCACAATTGGTCCCTGGAGTGCATCTCCCGCACCTATCACAAACGCCCTTCCTTGACCACCCTGTCTCTTCAGCTTAGGACAATCTTTCCTTAAATGTCCTGGTTGGTTGCACTCGAAGCAGGTTCGACTTTCTCTTGCGGTAGTAGTTGAGGTTGTGTTGCTTGGGTTCTTTTTGCAAAATTTGGTGGTATGACCACTTAATTTGTAGTTGCTACAGATCATGCAGTCTCCAACATGATGATAATTACACTTAGGTCAGCGAGGTAGAGTTCCAGCGTAGGGCTTTACTAGAGTGGGAGTGGTTGTGACTGCAGCATACATCGTTATAGGCTCTGGGTTTCGCTTACGGTGTTTGAAGTTCCTTTTTGGCTTCCCCTAGAACTTTCTCTTAGAATTCCCAGTTTGGTTCTTTTCTTTTGCGGGGGCCATGGTGCCTCGTCGGATACATTGTTCAGTCAACTCATAAGCCAGTTGCTTGGCACTGTCAAAAGTTGAGGGTCTGGATGCAGTAACCAGACCTTGGACTGGCGATGCTAATCCCCAAATGTATCTCTCCATCTTCTTGTCTTCTGAAGGCACCATTTCGGGACAAAGAGTTGCAAGGTCTTCGAATCGGTAGGTATAAGCAACTACCTCTGATCCTTGCATGGTTAGGTTCCAAAGTTCTTGTTCTAATGCTTGAATCTCATGTCGCGGGCAATACACCTTAGTCATCATTAGTTTTAGTTGTTCTCATCCCATGGCATAGGCTTCCGCAATTCCCACGGTCTTGGCATGGTTGTTCCACCAAGTTAAGGCAGCATCCATCAGTGTGCAGGTAGCGTAGTTAACCCTGCAGTCATCGGGGCAAGAGCTGATGTGAAAGACAGCTTCAATCTTTTCTATCCATCGGGATAGACCAACAGCTCCTTCAGTTCCATATAAGGATCGGGGTTTACAACCCATGAGTTCTTTGTATGAGCAGTGTTTGGGATTTCTTTGGGCAACTACAAGAGTACCACTTCCGCTATTTCCAGTATTCCCATTTCGAGCAGCCTCATAAGTCGCCAAGGTCGTAGCAATCCCTTGTGCAAGCATGTTTTGCATTATAGTGGGATCCATCTGGAAATTTTTGTGGTTATTTGTAGCACTTGGGGCTTCTTCCGGATCTGGAGTTTCTTCTGTTGTTTAAGTTATCTCTAGAGCACTTCTCTTGTTAGTCGGGGAGTCGGTGGCGGACGGACTCGTGGTTATTTTCGTCGAGGCATTCTCCTAATGCGTTAGATAAGTAAGTTAAGTTGTTTTTTAAACCATATAGTTATAATATGTGTGTATTTTGTATTTGTTCAATTTGTTTTTCTTCCGAAATCATACAAATTTTAAACCAGAAAATGAAAGCTTTACCTGATATAGAGTTTTGCAAGCAACACATAATAAATACAAACATTTAACAAAATACTGAAACATTGTCATAAGAACTGCTTGTTTTGGTTACAAAGTTTTAACCATATAAGGTTAGAAACAGAAAAGCTTTTCAAAAGATCTATTACAAACCAGGCAGTGATAAACACTTGCAACACAAAAGCTATTCCTCAAAAGTCGTAACCTTATCCTACGACACAAGTTGTCCTAGATATCTACCTCCCAAATTGAATAATCAGGACAAAGTCCTCGAACTAGTCCAAGACTTAGTGTCGTTCCTGCGCAGAGATAACCAGCTGATTTCGTTGTGCAGCAAGCTCGCTCTCCATGATCTGAATCGGGTAGTTCAATGCTCTAACCTGAGCACTCAAGGCATTCACTGCATCGCGATCAGCACCTGAGAGATGATATAATATCTGGATCACATCATAATTCTCCTTCTCCTCTTCCTCAAGTGTCTCAACTCGATGGTCAAGGGAAGTAGAGCCTGGACCTCATATAAACTGCTCTAAGGATCTGATCATATCCTCGGTCTGATCAGTTCGAGTCATCAAGCGAGTTATCGGATCATCCTCAGGATTAAACCTGAGTGATGCTCGTGAAGATTCACCAACCTCAAACCATGGTGGTAGATCAGTAGCATCCCTCCTGTTAAGGAGGTCTGTGAGCCAAGATGGCTCACTAGGTCGAGTTCGTTTCCCTAATAGACCACTAGTGGGTCGGGAAACCTGAGCAACTGGGTCCAAGTGGTAAATAGGAGATATAGTAGTTACTGGGGTCCTCATCATACAAGGGCCCTTGCCGTGCAGAAGGTACGGCTGGTAGTAGGGTCTCGGTGGTGATACTAGTGGGGTAAGGGGAGTAGGTTCCTCTTCCTAGAGGTCTCCCTCATCCTTTGCAGGACCATCATCATCAGTCTCTTGGGCATCCTGCAATATTCCCTCATCCTCGAGCTCCTCCTCATCGGGATCCTCCTCAGGATCCTCTTCGAGATCCTCCTCAAGATCCTCTTCGGGATCCTCCTCCTTAAGAGCGTCCTGGGGAGAGTACGGATCCCCAACTAAGTGTAGTGGATGTGGATGCAAAGGAACTCCAAATGGCTCATCAAGATCCTCAAGTCAAAACCAGTCATCGGGGTTATCCGGTAGTCCATCCATCTACATAAAAGGATTTCAAGCGGGTTAGTAAATTTGTATAAGTTTTTCATAAGTGTTTTAAGGTTGATAAAAGGATTCTAAGGTACTAAGCTTCAGCAACGAATCTTGTGGACATTCTTCAACTTCTAAAACTCTCAACCATTGTAGCCTGTCAAACTCCTTGCTCAAGGTTGGTTGTGCACCGGCCCGACCATAAATAACATAGGCGCGCATTCCAGGTTTATTTGTGGTATGGCTTATGTACGGTACTAACCTTTAATTGAGGTGTTTGACCTAAAAGGTTGAGTTGCTAGTTTTAGTTGAAGGGATGCTTAGAATTTTTTTTATTAAGTGTTCTCATCGCAGGTCAGAGTATATATATAAACTCTTATATATGAAGGTTGGTGGGGTTTGTAGTATTATTAATCTTTGTTCTGTACCGTAAGTAGTTGAGAAGTAGTTTTATTATTAATAATACTTTTATTAGAAGCTAGTTTCTATAGTTGTATTCCTCTTTCGAGGATACGAGTTCTCTATAGCCAATTTAGCTCTAATATCAATCTGTCACACCCCCGGCCGAGGCGGCGGAACATGCCGGGTTGTGCGACTAAGTTCATGGATCACAAATAAATTGAATATACAGCACAAGTACAACAATAAACAAAACATCATTTCATTACATATTTATGTTTCATACAAGGTTCTTACAGATAGTAATAAAATAATAATACGAGTTTGCCTTAACAGTTAGGCGTAACAGTTCAAAAGTAGAAAATTAAAGTACTTGCGAGCCATGTTTTCCATTGTCTGAGTGTGCCCGAAATTTTACTGATTTCCTGAGAATACATGTATTATAAAAGTCAACACGGGGTTGGTGAGAGTAACAGGTTTTCTGCTAGCCGCACTAATAATACTTTCAAAAGTCCAAAAGTATTTTTCTTGTATAATAAGAGTTGAAACAATGCTTGTCATAAGTCTTTAAAAGCCAAAAAGTATTTTTATAAATAAATCCATGCTTTTAAAGCGAAACGTGCTTGTAATAACTTCATGAAAGTTTAAATATATCCATTGTATAAGTAACCACTATACTTAAAAATAGTTCTGAAAGCAACCAAACATGTGGTTGTAGTGAAAAAGTGAGAGAGATTTGTGTTAATGTTTTCAGTGAGTTCTATAATCGAGCTATGGACGAAAAGTACCCTTCCCTACGATGCTTCATTGGACATCGTAGTAACGATCGTAGACATATATCACCTGCTTCGATTGATCAGTCGATGGTTGTAGCTAGCAACCGCAGGTGGGGTTGTTGATCCCATATAGATCTATATATATGTACCTCGCTCCGAAGATTAATGATTATAGCAGTGTGGGGCAGGCTAAGTGATTAAACTCAGCTAATGAATAGTAGCGTCTCACTCAAAAACCATTAACGAAATGTTTGTGAATAACTCTCAGCCCAAACTTAATTATAGATAAGTACCGGGCAAAATGAATTTCGTAGTATAGTATTTGTAAAAGCCGAGTATGGTTGACGTATTTATAAAAGTATAAATTACTCGCTTTTATAGAGATATGTATTTTAACATAATGATCTTGTACAAGTGTGTAAAGCCTTATGCGTGATAGTATTCAGATATGGAAGTCTTTATAACTTTTAAAATTGTAGCATGCATATCATATAAGACTTATATATTTGCATAATATATACTATTTAGCGCCTGTATTCTCCCCCAAGAATAAATAAAATATTGAAAAGGGGCCGTAAATATCACCTTATCGAGTGGTAAACGAGTAGTTCTGGAGACCAGAATGTATTGCCGTGAGGTCGTGATCTCCGGGATTAGTTCAATTTCCTAGAAATTTCGATATATATTAATATTTGGATGTGATTAGGTATTATAACAATTTCTTGAATAATTCCCTAAGTTTTGCCCAATTAAAATTTATTGAAATAATTATTTTAAATAAATTTTAAAATTTAATTTATTATTTTTCCGCAAGTATTTAAATAACCCAAAATTAATTTAAACTTGAAATCAAATTTAAAATTTCTAAAATATATGTATAAACATTATTCATTTAATTTTGTATTTAAAGTTGGATTTGTTTTCAAAAGATTTGTCCAATTTAGGGTAAGTTTTAAATAATTTGAGTAAACTTTCATTGTTCAACAACTAGATTTAAACTTGAGCAAAGTCGAAATAGAGGGACTGCATGTATTTATTTGGTATACAATACTCATCTTTTACACAGCAGGTGACAACCTCCTGTGTTCTTCATCTTCTTTCCGTAAATACAAAAAAAAATGAAATGAATGGTCTCGTGATTCCCAGCTTTCGCAGATGTGCATAGTTTGTTAATTCAAGGGTGTTTGGAGGTTACCTATGGCAACAAGTGGTGGCCGGTGGAGGTAGCTTGCAGCAGTATGGTAGTTCGGTGATGATGGGCGGAGGCCGACAGCCTCCTGTTGTTGGTTTTCTACGACTGTTTTGATGAAGACGAAGGAAGAGAAGGATGGAGGGTGTCACAAGGTAGTACACAGTAGTGCTGGAGGTGGTTTTCTAGTGGGTAAGGGGAGGGTGACAATGGAGCGACAGGATGGCAGGGGGTGGCGGAGCTGTGATGGTAGCCTCCTGTTGCCTCCGTTTTTGGGTTTCAGTTGAGTCTTGTGACGAGAGGGAAGGTTGGCTGGAGGTGGTGATCTACTGTGGGGTTATAAGAAGACATTTGGGTGGAAAAAGAAGGTTTTTTAGGGTGGTTGAGGGTGTAACCGTGAGTGTAGGATGAAGGATTTAGAGAGGAGTTTTCAGAGGATTTAGAAGAAGAGGAAGTTGCTGGAGATTTGTGAGTGAGTTTGAGGGATCCTCAAGTCCCTTTTTATAGTGTAACATACCCACTCACAAACCAATGGAAGCCATATCTATGCTCCATCAATTGTACTTTTGGCAAGCCTTGCACACCAAGATGAAGAGTGAAGGAGAGGAGAAGCATGTGGGATTCACCAGCTGGAAGGAGCTCAGATTTTTGGAGTCCGTCACCCCATGTGGGCCCCACATGGGGTTATACCTCCATTTCATGTCCAAAACATATAAAAACTGGGTGCCTCGGGATTCGTACATCGATGATTTTTTTTTCGAAAGCTTCGTTTAGATAGAGTATAATTCAAGGATTCCAGAACATCAAACGGATTAATCTTTGGGGTTACGGATCTCCGGGAAATTGCGTTTGAAGTTTTCCGTCTTAACGGTTGGCGGTGTCCGTTTTCACGACTTTCATAAATATTTTGGTAAAAATTATTTCGATTGTGAAATTAAGTAATATACTATATCCTGAGTCCAAAAACGCTCTGGTAAACCCTGTCGGCAAAGCGTAAGTACCTCAACGGATCGTTTTGGTTTACGCGATTAAAGAAAACAGTGTTTTACTGTCCGTTTTTCTTATAACGGTTGTATCTTTTGCATACGAACTCCATTTTGGACGTTCTTTATATTTTCGGAAATAGGGGAACATGTACTATCATATTTTAATGTTTGTTTTGCTCAAAAATGATTAATGCTAAATTTGAGTTTTCAGATGCATTAGCTAGCGCTGCAGTTGAGCGATTTGATTTGGTTACTAGTTTACACGTTTAGGCATAAAAATATCAATAGATATTACATAATAATTGAAATTAACTCATTTATATTTCATTAGATGCAGTTAAAGCTGAATGAGTTAATTACAAATAGATTTGTCGTAATTTAGTCGTTTGAAATCTATGTAGTAAATTCTGGGATGTCACAATTGACGCCACCTAGGACACCGTAGCTTAATGGTGTGGCTGAGAGGCACAATCAAACCTTGTTGGACATGGTTCGTTCCATGATGAGCCGAGCTTCGTTACCTATCTCATTTTGGGGGTGTGTATGCCTTATAGACTGCCACCCATATCCTTAATCTAGTCCCAATTAAGAAGGTTGCCAAAACACCTCACGAAATGTAGATAGGGAAGGTTCCCTCGTTAGCACATATCAAGGTTTGGGGTTGCAAGGCTTTCGTAAGATGAGAGACTCACGACAAGCTCGAACCTCATAGTGATCGTTGTATTTTCATCGACTACCCACAGAAATCCTTTGGATATTTGTTCTATAGACCTAGTGAGAATGTGGTCTTCGTAGCGCGAAGGGGTATCTTTCGTGAAAGAGAACTCATATGCCAACAGGATAGTGGGAGGCAAATTGACCTTGAAGAGCTTCAAGAGTTAAGCGATGAAGGAACCTCTAACACTAGTAATCAACCTAAGGATGAGACTCCTATTGAACCAGTTGACGAGTTCGTACCTCTAATACGTTCCAGTAGAGTGAGTGTTCTACCTGTATTATATGGTTTTCATATAACAACTGAAGGTGGTACATTTATTAGCGATAGTACATTGATAAATTTGGATGAACCTAACAACTACAAGGAATTCATGGCAGTCCAAGAGTCCGCAAAGTGGAAAGAGGAAATGGACAGCGAGATTCAGTCCATGTATGACAATCAAGTTTGGAACTTGGTTGAAAATGTACCAAGTCGTAAGGCGATCGGGTGCAAGTGGATCTTCAAGAAGAAGACCGACATGGATGGAAAAGTACATAAATATAAGGCGCGATTGGTTGTGAAGGGCTTTACTT